TTATGAATAAAACTCAGTGCAAAAACCTTTGCTATATTAATTCAGTGTTTAATAGTAGTCTTTTCATACAAAAAATTGCATTGTATAGGCCTAACGTTGACCTGCAACAAAAATATTTTCATACACGATAATTTGTGGGAATTTTTCTTGTAGCTTTCAGATGCATGTTTTCAGACCAAAACTTGGTTCTTTGTTATGGAAAATGTCCGGGTTGGACATATTTTGTGTCACTTTCTACTGGACTAATATAAGCTAATCATATAGCTTTTTGCTTAACAACAAATAGGATAATTTTTTGGTTGTTATTTTGATAAGTGTTTCTTCAAGAATCTCAGAAAAGCACGCTATTGATGCACAAAATCTTAGATACAGCATTAACTTCCTCCAAATTTTATGAAGATTTATTTTTATCAGGGAATTTTTTCATTTGTTTATTGTTTAAAATATAACGTGTCTGTCCTTTACATGGTACTTTTTAAGTTACTCGTTTAACCTCTAGTTCATGAGATTTGTTCAACAATTATTTAAAAAACAATAATATGGTGGGGGCTTATCCATCAGTGCTTCTTTCTCATTTCTCCATAGTCCTTTGTGCATGTATTTGTTTAATGTCAAAAATTTAACTGGTTTTTTCTTGTATCATGTTCTCTCCCAAATTATGGTTTTATTTTTATTAAAGGAACTATTATTTTACTATTTGGGAGAGGACAGTAAATGAAATACACTGACAAAAGATTTGAAATTAAGAGAAATTTATCTTGACACATTCATTTGTCCTCTTCAGTGTCATGTTATCCTCTAGCAGTCAACAACGTGAAAGGAAAACTAGTCAACAATGTGAAACTGAAGAGTACACAGATGTGTCAGAACTGGTTTCTCTTGTTTCATTTCTTCTGATAGTTTGTTCCATTTATTGTACTTTTTTCATTAGCTTTTTAACTTACACATTGTGTTGTTTTCAAAGTAATATGTGGTTTCCACATTCTCCACCAAGTTAAAGAAACATTGATTAACTTTTATTTTCTTGAAAGTTATATGCCCTTCTTCTGAGAGTCTTTTGCAGACTTCTCATGTTTCTATCAGTAAAGGAAACAAGAGTTTTAAGTTATGTTTTTTAAAATGCTTGTCTAAAATTTTATAATAAATTTTTTACATCTCATTCTGTAATAATATCTTGTCACAAAAAACTTGTTTCTTTTTAAATGTAAGAGAATCTTAACTTCTTTCTTTTGATATCAGTAAATTTTAGACTTTCTTGTAATGAAAAGAAAAATTTGTTTCTCTTATTTATTTTCATTCAGAGTTTATTAGGTGGAGTCATAGATTGTCTTTGTGTGGGAAGGTAGAATTACTGAAACTACGGCTTTATCATTTATTAAAGGCTTATGTAAAAGAAATTATCTGCTTCCAAATGATATACAACCTCTAAAATAGCATATGAACTAGTTGGTTGTATTTACTGTTTCATTTACTAAATAGCTGAAAAAGTTATTGAGTAAACATTAATGATCCATACATAGGTGATACCTGTTAATGAAAATATATTTTACTAAAAATGTTGTGTTTCTTCATTGTTAAGAGGTATTCTTTAATAATGTTTGTGGCATTAGCTTCAGCATTAACACACACACACACACACACACAATTATTTGTTTCATTTTTAGTCCATTTTATTTAAACAAAACAGTGCTGGATGTGTAAACTTGTAGTAAAAACAAGTTATTCATAATAAAAAATTAAAAAGTATCTGTTAGGTGATTTTGATGAATAAGGTAAAACAACAAACCGTATTCTTATTTGTGAATACTACTAAATACACTTCAGTGCTACCTATTGAAACTTGTAGAATGGGATTTGTATTAATCTTTGAAAAGTTCAAGAGTTTTGGAAATCCCTGTTATACAGAGTAAATTTATATGTGTCTATGTGTATGTATATATTTCTTGATTTCATGGTTATATACATATTCTTCAACAAATTATCATTTCTGTATGAAAGTCAAACAGAAGTATGTAAAACACCACCACTGTCTGTCTCTTCTCGTTACAGCTTTGGTAATTTTACGTATCTACTATTTTTCTACAAAACAAAAGCATTCTTTGCTGTTTTCACAATATATTTTTTCTATGTGAAAATCAAAGTATTTTAGTCTATAAAACCAGCTCCATATCTTTTATGGAGTGTTCACAAATTGTGATAACTCTATTATACATTTGCCAAACACATTTAAAGATTTTATTTCAAACCAGAGTAATAAGTCAACCAAATCTACTGAGTTACTTATGTCTGAATTAGGCCTAACTCTTAAGTTTAGCATGTTAAGAGCTCGCAAATTATGAACACTGTATCGTATAGTAAAGTTACATTTTGTTATTACTTCCAGCTTGTATCTTTTATATTTTTCCCCCAACTAAAAATGTAAATAAAGCAGTTTTACGAATTAATTTATGATATAAGACTATCCAAAGACATTTAATCTTTGTAGATATATTTATAGAAAATGAAAAAAAAAAAAGCAAATGACAAGCTTTGTTCTGTCTTTCATGATAAATAAAAATTAATTTTTATGACCCCATTTCTGATGTGTTCTTTATTGACAATTAGAGAAGAACAACAACAACATATGTTTCACATAGCTGCTACAAGTTTAAGACAACATGGACACAGAAATAACACAGCTTGAAGAGTTTCTGTTAAGATTACAGAATATTACATGTATATGATTAATTTGCCTAAACACGGGTTTGTGTTGGGTAGCCAGATGTTTTTTTGTAGTTTGTCCCAGTGCTCCGAGAAAAGTTCTTGGAAAGCACAAGACATCTCAGTTTTGTGATAAAGACATCAAACTGTAATACATATTAAATCATGAATATAATAGGCATACCTCACTTGATATTGTTGTAACACACACTATTGTTGCCAAACTTTCAAAAGTTCTGTCTGTGTGTGATGAGAAACCCAGGTCTAAATGTGGAAACATTTAAGGCAGTGCTTATCATCAAAATACACTTTACATAATCATGTACTTAATGTTATGACTTTTTACTAAAATGAAACAGAACTATGTTCCCTTCATTCTTCAGAAACATATTTCTTAAAAAGTTTCAAAGTAATGCTAAAACCTTAAAGAAGTATGTTTTGAAATGTTATGGATTCTTAAATAAATCCAGGTATGAGGTAGCTTACTTTAAGATGAATTGGACAGTGTGAATAATTAGTGATTTCTTGGATGTATAATATGACTATTTTTTGCTCATTCCTGTCTATCAACAAAAAAAAAAGTAGACGAAATTATTTTCAAATACCTATAAAATGATAGGTTTCTTTTTTGTGAGTGTAAAACACTTAAATACACCAGTTCGATTTTCGATACCTCACTACTATAAAGGCATGGTTTGGT